AATTTCATTATCATCATTATTATTTTTAAATTTATTAAAATTAATCTCACTATCACCCAAATAAACTACTAACCAAATCGATTGCATTTCCCCGATCACCAGCTAAGCTCTAGTCAACCTTCATTTACACTGCCAGATGGAAATCCCTTTATATATATATATATTCTTTTAGACAATGATATATTATTTGCCGAAAATTTAAAACATTAAAACGGCTCAAATTTGGGAATGAAATTGAACATGATAGCTCATTCTAGGGACTTCCTCATACTTGTCAAGAATCACAAATACAATTAAAAATATCCAACAACTTTCGAGAAGTTCTATAGTAAATTTAAATTTTTTAACCTTATAACAATTAGATATAAAAAATTAATATAAATTATTAATTTTTTTAATTATAAAAATAATTAATTACCTAATAATTTAATTTTAATTAATTAACATTAAATATTATTTATTAAATAAAAAAAAGAAAATTTTAATAGATAAATACAATCTATTTAAAATTCTTAAAAGAGAAGAAAGATAATATAATATTTAAAAATATTTAATTGAAAATTGGTTAACGTAAAAAGGTAAAAATTATTATAAAATTAGTATCATTTGACATAAAATATGTTAAAAGTGTCATAATATCTTAAAAAAAAGTTGTGATAATTCTAAATATGAAAAAGGTAAAATATAAATAATTAAGTTGATAGTGTAAAAAAAATTATTACCTTAAACTCAAAAAATACTTATAAACTAATAAATAAGTGTTAATATAAAAATGTGATAATAATTATAAAATTAGTATCATTTAATGTAAAATGAGTTAAAAGTGTTATAACACCTTAGAAGTGTCATAACACCCTAACAATAAGTTATGATAATTATAAACATAATGAAAAGTAAGAACAAGAATAAAAAAATATTATTATAACAAAAATAATGTAAAAGAAATATTATTACAAATAAAAAAATAATTTTAAACAAAAAAAAGTTAATGTAAAAAAATATGATAATAGTATTATTTAACATAAAATAGTTACAAGTAACATTACACCTTAATAAAATATAGTAATAATTCTAAGCATAATGAAAAGTAACAACAAGTGTAAAAAAATATTATTAAAATATAAATAATTAAATTGGTAATATAAAAAAATTATAAATAAAAAATAATCTTATACCAAAAAATAAGTGTTAACGTAAAAATATAAGAATAATCGTAAAATTAATATTTTTAACATAAAATAGTTAAAAGTATCGTAACACTTTTAAGAAAAAGTTATAATAATCCTAAATGTAATCAAAGGTAAATATAAGTATAAAAAAAAATTATTATAACGTAAATAATTAAGTTAATAACATAAAAATTTTTATTAATATAAATAAAAAATAATTCTAAATAAAAAAAAGTGCTAACATAAAAAAAATGAGAGCAATTGTTAAATTAAAATCATTTAGCGTAAAGTGTGTTAGAAGTGTCGTAACGTAAAATTGTAAGAATAGTTGTAAAATTGGTTTCACTTGACATAAATTAGATTAAAATTATCGTAACATCAACAAAGAATTGTGATAAACTTAAACATAATAAAAAGTAAGAATAAGTGTAAAAAATATTATTGTAACATAAATAATATTTTTGATAATTAAAAGAATTAATAATGCAAATAATTAATAATTCTAAACCAAAAAAAAAAGTGTCAGTATAAAAAAATGTGAGAATAATCATAAAATTAATATTATTTGATATGAAATTATTAAAAGTATCGTAACACCTTTAAGAAAAAAGTTGTAATGTTTCTAATGTAATGAAAAGTAACAACAAGAGTAAAAATATATTATTAGAACATAAATAATTAAGTTGGCAATATAAAAGAACTATTATTACAAATAAAAAATAATTTTAAATAAAAAGTTAAGAGTTAATATAAAATAGTGAGAATAATCATAAAATTGATAATATTTAATGTAAAATAGTTAAAAGTATCATTAAACCTTAAGAAAAAAATTGCAATAATTCTAAACGTAATAAAAAGTAACAACACACATAAAAAGATATTATTAAAACGTAATAAATTAGTAACGTAAAAAATTTAGTATTATAAAGAAAAAAATAATTCAATCAAAAAATAAATATTAACGTAAAAATATGAGAATAATCGTAAAATTGGTATCATTTAGTGTAAAATATAGAAGTGTCGTAATACCTTAAAAAAACTTGTAATAATTCTAAACATAACAAAAAATAAGAACAAGCAAAAAATTTTATTGTAACGTAAATATAAGTTGACAATATAAAAAATTTATTATTATAAATAAAAAATAATTTTAAACAAAAAATACATATTAACGTAAAAAAGTGAGAATAATTAAAAATTAAAATTATTTGGTGTTAAATATATTATGATGTCATAACATAAAGAGATATGAATAGTTGTAAACTTATGCCATTTGGCATAAATTAAATTAAAAGTACCATAATACCTTAACAAAAAGTTGAGATAATTCTAAATATCATAAAAAGTAGGAATAAATATAAAAAATATTAATGTAACATAAATAATATTCTTGGCAACATAAAAGAATTATTATTACAAATAAATAATAATTATAAACTAAAAAATAAGTGTTAATATAAAAAATGTGAGAGTAATCGTAAAATTGATATCATTTGGTGTAAAATGATTAGAAGTATCATAACATATTTAAAAAAAGTTATGATAATTCTAAACATAATGAAAGGTAATAACAAGCATAAAAAGATATTATTATAATGTAAATAATTAAGTTTGTAATTTAAAAAAATTATTATTACAAATAAAAAATAATTTTAAACAAATAATAAAGTTAACATAAAATGGTAAGAATAATCATAAAATTAGTATTATTTTACGTAAAATAGTTAAAAGCATCATTACACTTTTATACAAAAATTGTAGTAATTTTAAACGTAATAAAAAGTAACAAAAAAATGTAAAAGATATTATTAAAACGCAATAAATTTGTAACATAAAAAAATTAATATTATAAATAAAAATAATTTTAAATAAAAAAATAAGTATTAAAGTAAAAAGATAAAAATAATCATAAAATTGGTATAATTTGGCATAAAATATATTTAAAGTATTATAATACTTAAGAAAAAATTGTGATAATTCTAAATATAATAAAATGTAAAAATAAGTGTAACAAATTTTATTGTAACATAAATAATTAAATTGACAACATAAAAAATTATTATTATAAATAAAAAATAATTTTAAACCTAAAAATAAGTGTTAACGTAAAAAAAATGAGAATAATCATAAAATTGGTATAATTTAACATAAAATGTGTTAAAAATATAGTAACATTAAAAGGTGATTATAGTCATAAAATTAATATCCTTGTAAAATAAGTTAGAACTATTGTAATACTCTAAGAAATAGTTGTGATAATTCTAAACGTAATGAAATATAAGAACAAGTGTAAAAAATTTATTTTAACGTAAATAATTAAGTTAACAACATAAAAAAAATTATTATTATAAATAAAAAATAATTCAATCAAAAAATAAGTGTCTATGTAAAAAATGTGAGAATAATCATAAAATTTATATCATTTGGCATAAAGTGTATTAAAAGTATTGTAACACCTTAAAAAAAAATTGTGATAATTTTAAACATAATAAAATATAAGAACAAGTGTAAAAACATATTATTATAACATAAATAATTAAATTGATAACGTAAAAAAATATTATTATAAATAAAAAGTAATTTCAAACCAAAAAATAAGTGTTAACGTAAAAAAGAAAAAAAAGTAAAATTAATTGTAAAATTAATATCATTTAATGTCATAATACATTAAAAAATAGTTATGATAATTCTGAGTAAAACAGAAAGTAAAAGCAAGAATAAAAAAAAATTAAAGTAAATAATTAACTTGACAATGTAAAAGAATTAATATTTTTAAATTAAAATATTCTAAATAAAAATTGTTATAGTAAAAAGATGAAAATAATCATAAAACTCATATCATTAAATGTAAAATGAGTTTGGAATATCTTATTCTCAAAAAAAGTTTTAATAATTCTAAATGTAATGATAAAAAAAAGGATAAAATATATTATTAAACATAATTAATTAAGTTGATTTTGTAAAATAAATTAATATTATAAAATTAAAAATATATTAATTTTTTATTTATTAAATTAATAAATTAAACAAAATTATTTATACCTTTTTTAATGTTTATTTGTTAATCTATTCTTTCCTTTTTTTTTCTTTTTTTTAAGTTATATTATTTTTACAATTTATTATAATATCTCATAATACCTTAAGAAAGAGTTATAATAATTCTAAATGAAATAGAAAGTAAGAACAAGAGTAACAAAAAATTAAAGTAAATAGTTAACTTGACAATATAAAAAAATTGATATTTTTAAATTAAATATTCTAAATAAAAAAATTGTTATAGTAAAAGGATGAAATAATCATAAAATTCATATCATTAGATGTAAAATGAATTTGAAATATCTTATTCTTGTAAAAAGTTTTAATAATTCTAAATGTAATGATAGGAAAAAGTATAAAAATATATTATTAAACGTAATTAATTAAGTTGATTTCGTAAAATAAATTAATATTATAAAATTAAAAAGTATATTTTTTTTATTTTGTTAAATTAATAAATTAAATAAAACTATGTATATCTTTTTTAATGTTTATCTATTATCTAGTCTTTTTTTTAAGGTATATTATTTTTACAATTTATCATGATATGGTGACGTTAAAATAAAATCCATATAGAGCTTGTACTGTAGACAAACCCAACAACTTTCCCAATCACTTTTAATTAGTTTGATCATTCCATGCAGTGACTTTTAATTAATTTAACCATACCAGGCAGTGACTTTTAATTGTTTGACCATGCTTTTTTTAAGAAAATACTCTTTATGTACTATTTATATGATTCTGTTTAATCTAAAGTACAAGCTTTGTCCTGAATGATAATCCCCACTCCATATCATGGAAATAGCCTGTTCTATTCTTCACAATTTCAGTCTTGTGCTTTTCTTTGCTCTTCCAGTTTTGGTGGCTGCTCAAACTGCAAATATTAGTTTAGGATCATCTCTTGTTGCCTCGGAGGACTCCTCCCCATGGCATTCACCTTCCAAGGAATTTGCATTTGGATTTCGTCGCATTGGTGATCAAAATCTCTTTCTGCTTGCCATATGGTTTGATGCCATACCAGATAGAACCATAGTATGGTATGCAAATGATGGTAAAACAGCCCCGGAAGGATCGAAACTTGAGCTTGGTGTTGATGGTCAGTTCACTCTTACTACTCCACAAGGCAAAGAAATCTGGAAACCCGATAATATGGTAGACAAGGCCTCTTATGCTGCTATGCTCGACACAGGGAATTTCATCCTTGCAGATAATGATTCTAACCATATTTGGGAAAGTTTCAGGGATCCAACCGACACCATACTGCCAACTCAAATAATGGAGCGTGGTGGACTGCTATCTTCAAGGAGAACAGAAAACAACTATGAGAAGGGGAGGTTCCAGCTCCGCTTGCTTCCAGACGGCAACCTTGTGCTCAATCCCATTGCCCTGCCAACAGATAATGCCTATGGTGCTTATTATAACAGTGACACAAATGATATTGCTAATGACACAAATTCTGGTTTTCGATTGGTTTTCAATGAATCAGGTTACCTTTATGTCGTTCGGAGGAATGGAAACAATAAAAACCTTACATCAGGATCAATTTCCTCACCGCAAGATTTCTATTACAGGGCAACACTTGATGTTGATGGGATTTTCACACAATATGCCCACCCCAAGTCTCCAGCAAATGGAAGCAGTTGGGTTCAATCCTGGACCCCTGTTTGGTTTGAGCCAAAAGACATTTGCTCAGGCATCAAGGGCGACCTGGGTGGCGGAGTTTGCGGCTTTAACAGCTACTGCATACTTCAATCAAATGGAAGACCAACCTGTCAGTGCCTTCCTGGATTCTCCTTATTTGATCAGGATGACAAATTTAGTGGCTGTAAGCAAGACAATTTACAAACATGTGATCCATATGCTCCAAATCCGGAGGAATTATATGAAACAAAATTCCTGTCAAATTTAGTTTGGCGCACTTCTGCAAACTATGAAGAGCTCGGACCATCAAATGAAGTAGATTGTCGTGATTCCTGCATTTCTGATTGCAATTGTGTGGTTGCTGTCACTTATGCAGGGAAATGCTGGAAGAAGAAATTGCCCCTCTCGAGTGGGATGGTGGACATTAGTACCTATGGTAAGGTTTTCATCAAAATACCAAAAGCTAATCTTACTTCAAGAGAACTTCCTTCTCCGGAGAGCATCAATCAAAGGGATCAAGCAACTGCAATCCTAGTTATATCAATTATCCTGGGGATCTCAGTGTTTCTCAACTTGCTATTCATGGCAGCTAGTTCAATAGCCTTCATTTTCTCATACCACAAAAGACAGAAACATGCCGGAGTGTCAAGCATTTTAGAAACAAACTTGCGGTCTTTCACTTTTGAAAACCTCAAAAACGCCACAGACGGGTTCCGAGAAGAACTAGGAAGAGGTGCTTTCGGAATTGTATACAAGGGGATCTTATCATCACCGAGTTCAACAACTTTAATTGCGGTCAAGAAGTTAAACAATCCGATACAAGATGGAGAGAAGGAGTTTGTAGCAGAAGCAAGTGCAATAGCAAAGACCCATCACAAGAACTTGGTAAGATTGCTTGGCTTCTGTGAAGAAGGGCAACACAGGCTTTTGGTTTACGAGTTCATGAGCAATGGCACTTTAGCTAGTTTCCTCTTTGGAATCTCAAAACCTGACTGGAACAAACGAGTCCAGATCGCATTTGGGATTGCAAGAGGGCTTGCTTACTTGCATGAGGAGTGTGGTACACAGATCATTCATTGCGATATTAAGCCCCAAAACATACTTCTTGATGACTCCTTCACTGCAAGGATCTCAGACTTCGGGTTGGCAAAACTTCTTATGAATGAACAAACTCGAACTCTTACAGCTGTCAGAGGGACTAAAGGTTATGTAGCACCGGAATGGTTCAGGAACATGCCAATTACAGCAAAGGTGGATGTGTACAGTTTCGGGGTCATGTTGCTGGAGATTATTTTCTGCAGGAAGAGTTTAGACGTGGAAAAAGAGAATGAAGAGGAAGTAATACTAGTTGACTGGGTCTATGATTGTTACAGATGCAGAAGATTGGATAAGCTGGTGGAAAATGATGAGGAGGCAAAGATTGACATGAGAAGCGTGGAAAGATTTGTTATGGTGGCAATTTGGTGCATACAAGAGGATCCATCTTTAAGGCCTTCAATGAAAATGGTTACACAGATGATTGAAGGAGTAGTTCAAGTTTCTATGCCCCCATGTCCTTGCCCTTTTAGTTCTTTTTGTTAAATCCAAGTTGTGGATCTAAAAATTATATGTTTTCATTCATCAATTCCTAATCCATTTCTATAGTTTATATTATAGTTTATGTTTAAGCAATATTGTCACTGTTTGCACCATGCATAATGCCTTGTATAAAAGCTTTAGAAAGATTTGGATTTTATAATTACAATGAAGCCCTAACAGGATTCATAACCCTTTCTAGACAAATGCTCAAACAGTTAGTTGTCTTTGGTAAAAATAGAAACTATTTGGATACTGCTACAATACTATATTTCATGCTTGTTTGGGGCTTTTATTAGACTCATTTTAGACCCTCTATAGTTCTAGACTTAACGCAATTTCTATTTTGAAGCCTTTGTCTCTTTTGAAGAGATATTTAGAACATGCACAGTTAGAATTTGAAATTTCTAACTTTAAATTTTTAAGGAAGCATTTGGTTCGAAAAATGAAATTTTACTTTTGTAATTTAATTTTTTAATTTAATTCATGGAATGTGATTTAAGATTTTTTAAGATTTTCAACAACATAAAAAAAATAAAAATAAAAATAAAACCGTCTCTTCTTGAAATTTTTTAGATCAAAGTAAAAATTTTATCTCGTTTATCCTCACTTAATTTTATTTTCAAACAACATAAGTAACGTTATTTACCTTATAACTGTGCGATAAAAAAGAAAAAAAAAACTTATGATAAAAAATTAGGTATAATTATGTAATCTAGTATTTAACTGACCTTTACATAAAAAATTTAAAAAAAAAAAAAGGCAATTGTTAAGGGATAGTATGGTAATTTTTTTTTGTTTTAAAAACCAAAAAATAAAAAACTGAAAACAAAATTTTTAAACGTTTTTAAAATTTTGGAAACTTCAATGTCAATTTTAATGTTTGAAATCCAAAAGATTATTAAAAGGATTCGGGAAAGTTTTAGCTACTTTCTTTTATAAGCTTCTGTTAATAAATTTCTGTAAAAGAACGTTCTATTAAAACATTCTATTAAATTCAATAAATTAAAAATAAAAATAAAATAAAATTTTTTAAAAAATAACAGGATAAAACAACCCCTAAAAAAAGCACGTCCGGTTCTCTGGCTGTAATGAACAAAAGGAACGACTAGACCTAGAAGGAAAAATTGTTGCCCATTTGAATTAGCATTTCTATTTGGCCCCAAAAAAAAAGGGAAAAAGAAAAAAGCGGCTTTGCTATATTGAATGGTCCGATACTAAAACTTCAGAAATCGATCGACGTCCTTGCTCAATGCTCGGGGCACCAACCACCGACCAATTTGTTAATTTCAAACATCCCACGACAATAACAAATCGAGATTGGCATTGGAAATCAACATGGCCAAGTGTTGAATTCCTCTTTATATTGGAGAAAAGTTCAGAATGAAACACTTTTTCAAAGCAACGGTAAAGCAAGAAACAACTGTCCATTATGAAAACGACAAAAGAATATAATGTTCATTTAATAATGTTGATTATGAAAACGGCTGAAGCAAGAAATTTTCACCTTGATTTAATAATGTTGCCACCGTATCACTCTGCCTCTTCCACGTGGCACAGATTCGTGTCATGTAATCATTATCTTTTCTCTTCAAAATCAATTTATTAAGGAATGTAACGATAATATTTTAACATTCTTTTTATATTTAATATGAAATTAAAATATCTTATATATTTAATATGATTTTTTTTATTCAATCTCGTGATACTTTCATAACAAAAATTTTAAAACGCTTGACATGAATTAAACAATCTAAAATCTACTCTAATATCATTTATTACGTAATTATTATTTTTTTTTTAAATCAATTTATATAACATTAATATTTTAATATCTCAATAATTTTCTTTCATATTCAATGTAAGATTAAAATATCCAATTTAATACCCTATTTAATTTTTCTTGAAGCCTTGGCGTGACGCTGGGACCTCAATCTAAAAAGTTAGCCTACTAACTGGGTTGATCATCTCTTTTATCTAAATTTAAGCTATATAATACACAGCGCACATGGAACTCCACACACACATTTATCACGTGACAACTCTCCTAACCAATCTTTAATGCTTTTGTCTGTCGTGAAACTTTACGTGGCGAGAGAGTATTTCACTTACAAATTTTTTTTACTATAATCTTAATTAATCATAATAAAAAATTATGTAAGAATCTATCACTTAAAAATATAAACTTTATATAATTTTTTATAAACCCTACATAATATTAAATTATAATTGATTAATTACATTTAAATAATTATAGCTTATATGCTTTCGTGATATATAGGCATGATAATCCCCCGACCTCACAAGATAAATTAAAACACACTGAGAGGATGAGAGAGAAACAAAATTCAATCAAACCTTTGTTATTTACAGAGAAAACAAACAATGAAATGGTTTTTATTCACATAATTTAGTATAAAGGTTATGAATCTTAAAAATAAGTAACTTTGTCCTTACCTCCTGGGAAAGCACACTATAGAACCTTTACCAAATCCAGCTCTAGAAAGGAAAGAGTCAAGAGTGCAACTTAAGGTAAAGCCATCTTCTTGACAACATTGTAGCTATCGGAACAGAGAAAGTACAGCAAGACATATTGGATATCAACATAGATCCAATGAGAGATCAAAAAATGAAACTGAACTTCTTCCTCGGGCTTTGAAAGTTATAAAGGTTTCATGACCAACAGAACTTAATTTCTCCTTATATTTTGCTTTTGGTTCTAAACTATTTAGCTTCGGCTCTTACTTATAGAAAGTTAAAGATCAAATCTTGACATTAAAAGCACGCAACATCATAAACCATTCACCCAAACACCTAACATATTTGAAAACCTTCATTTAATGCCAGCCCATTTCTTAAAAGCCTGAACATGCTCAAGCCTCTTACCTTGAGCCTCAGTTCTAGCTTTCCATGCTTTTAAGCTCCTATAAAGATTCTTATGGATCTTTAGATATTCAATCTTATACATCCATTTGTCAATATAGATGCTACGCTTTTCCATATAACCTATGACCTCCATCACCCTTTCAAAGTATCCACCTTGAATAAAGTTTAGCAGCAAGAACTCGTACAAATCACTACTCACAGATAAATTCCTACTCTCCATGGTCCTCTTCATGTCACCCCACAGAATAGTAATATCACGATACATTTCTAGTGAAGAATACCCACATACCAGATATGCAAAAGTATGTTCAGTGGGTTGGATTTTCATCTCTTCCATTCTTCGGTATACCTTCAGCGCATCCCCCATCATTTTAGCCTTTGAAAAGAAGTAAATAGAAGAGTTCAATTCATAAATTATAGGAGATATTGCCTTCTCCGCCTCACATATTTCTTGAAAAAGAGACTCAGAGAGACTTGGTTGACAAATAGAAGATGATACGTTTATGCAGAGAGAACTTCTACTTACATTTGCTGGCACATTTTCGGACATAACAATCTTTTCAGACAAATTTACGACCAAACCAGCCTTCCTCATTTGTTTTAGCAGTACATTTCCCTCCCTAGACATATTGCTTTTATAATAAGCCGTCAGGAGTGCCACATATGTACTAGAACCCAAAGGATCACCAGAAGATTCCATGTCATCCAAAATGTCATGAGCAATCTCCATCCAGCCTAATGAAATGCATGCATCAATCACGTCAGAAAACAAACTTGATCCACCTAATGAACATAACTCCCTTTTTAAGCTAAGTAAAAACTTTGTCAGCTCATTGATTTCCCCATGCCTCTTGTATCCATTAATGAACTTGGACAGAGCCCTATTAGTAGGAAGAAGTTTCTTATCCCTACAGAAAACAAGATCCGATTTGCCTTCTGCTTTGAAGGCAGAATCCTTTTGCAGCAACGCAGGCACAATTTGCATCTTCAGTCCATTCCTGAGATTGTGAGATCCAATGGGAACAAAACGAGGCTTCTGGTAATCCTTCCCAGGATCTTCAATAGGATGGGATTCCCTAGATCTATTCATGTCCAAGACAAGCTCTGCAGCAGCATCGATGTCATCAAACTTAAAATGCAAGCTTAACAAACACTCATAAAACTGCTGATAATGAGAAACAAAAGGCACTGGTAAAAAAGCAATATGATCTTTAAATTTCTTCAACTCATCCCTCTGCCCATTCATTTCATGGATTTGAGCAATGATATTGATTGAGTGTGCATCAGCAACAACCCCAGTTTGTGACATCAATTCTATAATTTGTTGACCTGTGAGAGATGATGCAAATCTAACACAAGCATCAAGCACAAGATTAAAGATCATTGTATCAGGTTTCAGCAAGTTAGTGCAATGACTCTTTCCTGAACAAAATCTTATGTAATAGTCACAAAACTGGACCAAGAGATTGGATGCTATACATGTCCCAACCTCTGTCTTCACCATATGCAGAAATACTAACCGCAATACATTCATTGGGGGTAGTATCTCCTTTTCCAGCATCAATCTAAGAATCATTGATGATGGAATGGGCATCTGGGCTCTTGCTAAAGAGAGAACAAGCTTAGCCAAGATGTCAGGCTGAAGATGAAATGATTTATCTTTAAAGACTATCATAACCAAATCACAAGCTTTTTGTAGCCAATGAGGGCTGCACGAATAGGACAGTTGAGTGATGAGCCTATTAACAAGTAAATGGTTGGGAAAACCATATAACCTTTTAAAATCATTGAAAGTTTCCCACGCTTCATCCAGTTTGAGATCCTTCAAAGCAATTTCAAGCTTTGTCAACAAAACTGCATGAGAGGAACCTTCCCAACTTAACCTTTCCAGACATGTAACAGGACAAAAAAATCGAGGTCTGCATATTACATCAGATCCCTGAAACCCACCAAAACCTTTGCTAAGGAAAAGCCCTGTGTCATGATTTGAATTCAAGCACACAATGAATCGAGAAGAATTGTGACTAATGAAGCAAGGATTCACCAGTATTTTCCTCCTCAATTTTAGTGCCATTTTCAGATAAATGGTAATAACCCACAACCTGCACCAAACCCAGATTAATTTTCATTTCTAAACACATAAGAAGCATAAGAAATGCCAAAAATACCATCAACTAAATGAAAAATCTTTTCATGCATACACATGTATTTATATATGTATGTGTGAAGAGAGAATTATAAAAAGTAAGAATTAGAAGTTTTCACAACTAAGTTCCAGCTAATCCTCCGTTGGCATGATATATAGTAGTGCAAACCATTTTTAAAAAATGGGAAATGCAGGAGATGACAACAAAAATTAGCCCCATGGGTTTCAATTAATCCTCTGATTGGTTGCAATGTGAAAACCAAAAGAAAAAAAAAGGTCCAAAAATTTATAGCTAGAATGATCCATTACTTGAAAGTAAACAAACAATTACTTCCCATTTACAAATTGAACTTCATATAAACTGGATAATCAGATTGCAGACAAGAAAAGAAAATAACTTATATAACAAAAAAAAAAAAAAACAAAGCATAACCAGACAGAGCATCATTTCATGACTTGTCTTTGGAACCAAAAGGAATCTTTGGAAAGGGAAACAGGAGAGATTAAAGGGCATACAATGGAAAGTAGATTACCGGCAAAAATGTCATTGAATCTTCACTGTCTCAAGCCAGCCTGGGCGGTGTCCAAGTGAGACTGTAAGACAGTATAAATTAATTTGTTTTCTTTTTTCATAAAATAGTATATACGGTGATATATAAAGAAGGGAAAAAGCATAAAGTTTTAAAAATAGCAAAATATAGTATATCAATTAAGCCTAAAAGTGTTTCTTCTTCTAAATGATTGGGGCTCTAGATGAGTAAAAAACAAAAGAAAGAAATATGATAAAATTGGTGTAAAATTGCAGAGGGACACATTATCGATAATGGGTCAATTTGGGTAAAGCCGAAAGGGCATTGTTTAAGTCATACATGGATTCAGATAAGAAAAAGAAAAAACAGAGTAATAAGAGAAATGGTGAAATGGGTTCATAGATATAATAAACTTTGTTTTATGGTAAACATTGCTCAAGCAATCTCTATGAAGAGCAATTATATTATTATTTATTAAAATAAATCGCAGTTGGCTTGATTGCTGGATAAACATCAAAGTAATAACTATGTTTTTTTTTTTAGCAGGAGGAAAATTGTTTTTTCTTTTGTTTATCAGAGGAAATGAATATGAGAGAGAGAGAGAAAACAGTGTTGAAGATCTAACCTGAAAACATGTTGGAGCAGGAACAAAGACTAAATGCTGAAGATACTGAGTAACAAAATGCTGCCGAGTGAAGTTTCAAGAGTTGTTGACGCCACCTCTCCCATATGCAAAATGTTCATGGGCCGAGACCAATCAGCCCAAATCAATTTTTTCGACCTGGAAGGGCAAACTATTTGCAAAAATCGATTTGAAAATAATTTTTAAAAAATTTTATTGTTAGGATAAATTAATGATAGTTTTGGTAATTTTATGAAAATATTGCATTTTTTTGCAAAATTATAATGTTGAGTGTTGCATAACTGTTAAATATTTATTGTTAAAATATTTTTTAAAATATTTTAAAATAGAATTATTTATTATTAAATATTATTGATATTCATATTAAAAATATTTCTTGTTTGGCCTAATATATTAAATTTAAATAGTATTATTTATTATTAAATGTTATTTATATGAATATTAAAAATATTTCTTTTTTTGCTGAATATATTAAAAATATTTCAAAATTCCTATTTATTATATTAAAATATTAATATAAATGTTATTTTTATTTTTATTTTAAATAACGTTCAAGACTATTGTTTGAAACTATTAATGCCTAAATAAACAACTCCAGTTTTATCATAACTTTAAAAATGTCAATCAAATTTAATCCAAATCAAACTTGATCCAATGGTCCATAAACATCTTTACTTTTTTTTTTTTAATTTTTAATCTACTCTTAACCTCACTATTTTATTATTTATCTGATTAAAAAGAACATAACATATATAAATTCATTTAAATTTTATTCTTCAAATATCAACTTTAATAACATATCATTTGATTTAAAAGATAGTCAACAAAAGCACTTCTTCCATGTGACAAAATACTTTGATTGCCATGGCATGAAAGGTGCTCTATCACATGATAGTAAAAAAAATTTAAAATATTTATAACTTATACCTTTTTAAAAATTTTATTTTTATTACCATGTTACCTTGGTTACATTATTAAGCAATCAAAATCAAAATGTACTTTGTCAAGACCTGATGAAATGCCATCCTAGAGTCCATTCCTTTACGTGACCAAATTTATAAATGCTAATGACTAAAACATCAATTTTGTAAGTTAGATAAGCAAAAAAAATTTTAAAAGATAAAATATAAAATAAAATAAGTACCACTAAGAAAATGGAAAAAATATATATATAAATCTTTTCATATATAAACGCTTTACTTTGCTCATTTAATTTAAAAAAAAATGTTTTATTCACCAAATTCATAAGTATTATATATAAATTTACCACCTAATGATTGAGTTAATCGATTAAAATTTATCTTTTTCGATGAAAAAATCTTGAATTTAAGTCATACCAATAAACATTTGTTAAAATCATATCGAATACACAAACTGTAACCACCTATCTTAAATTATTAAATACGATACATCTTATCTTGATCTGAAAAACTGTACCACTTATCTATCCCGAATTTTTTCTTACCAAAAGAAATATATATATATATATAAATTTACTGTTTTGATCACTCAATCATTAAAAAATTTAAACTTACTGTTTTTTTTTAAATTAAAGGATTAAAATAAAAAAAAATCCAAAAATCTGATAGCTAAATATTTAATAATCTTATTTAAAAGGAAAGAGTATTAAGTGACAAGGCAATGACTTCACCTACGAATAAGAAACATAACAATTTTATTGAATGTAAAAAGGAGGACAAATGTTATAAATACAAAGACATGGAATAGAAGTCACCCATTTTACAATGCTATCAGACTAGCCAGTTTTTTTTTCTCTTCTTTTTCCCCACCTTGAACTGGCTTTTGGATTAAAGTGCGTAAAATTTTCATAATGAACCCCACGCCTGAAATTCTTAAAATAAATCGCGGAGACCAACATTGTAGGTAAAAATAAAAATAAAAACATAAATTAAACTGCATTTGTCAACATTTACAACTGCTCGAGCTGCCTCCTGGAACAAATTACCATCGAGCAGTGGAGACATTGCAAAGCAGAAGATCATACAGGATGGTTTTATTGGAACATTCGGAGGAAATGGTTTGCGTATGCCATCGGTTTGACATCAGGGTGAGGCTGCAAATCACAGAGAAAGTATGTCAAACTTCTTTCATATAAAATAAAAAATTAAGAAGGATCCTGGTGCTTTTCTAGGAGGGAAAATGTTGACAACAAAAGAAACAACTACTAACCACTGCTGAGAACGTAACAACATTTGGCTTCAAATCGGGGGCTTCGAAGCGAATAAATGCACCCTTGTTACCCATCTGAAACAAATAAAATTTCGACAACATAATATGTAAACAAGAAAACAGGACTCAAATGGTTCAATGGTGTTAGAATACAAATATATATTTATATATAATTTACTTGGATCTTCAACTCCTAAAACAGAACCTCCAACCAATTTACTCAATTTCAACTTCAAACAGAATGACAATTAAAAAGAGACCTAGAGATAACAGGGGTTGGGGGAGAACATAGGTAAGGAGGCTGTGAAGTTGGAAAAGGCCAAATCCTCGTGCAAAAATCTAAACATTAAATTTCAAGAACAGTATACTACTCTCAAGAGTAATTTCACCAAGTACTAGTAGAAACTAGTTGTCCATACAATACGCCTGACATTGTCCACAACATCAATTGATCTTTTTAATATTGCAGTGTACTTTAAAATGACCATAAAATGCAGATTAAAATGGAGAAACTTGTGCACCGAAGGACATATACACATTGTTACTTTAAAATGACTACATAAGAAGATTACAAAGACAAAAGTCAGGAGCACGCATGTGCACCAATCCCCGGACAATAAAACCAAGACTGATAAACTTCAACCTTCCACCTTAATTGCTTTACAATATTGGTTATAAGCTACCATTGTCTTTCTGATTATCCAAAACCACTTGGTTCAGATTAAAAGGGATAAAAAATAAAACAAGATGATGCAACTTCATATAGTTAATAATTGATACTAGTTCACCAAGGATAAGCAGTTAAATTAAACTAAGGCTGCAGAATGATTCATGAAAATGAAGCATGCAAGATAACATACTTAAAGCATTTTGTGTACAGAAATATCCTTATGAAACGATTACAAAAAGCTCTTAGGATAATTTTTGCATTAATAGATGATCCTATTTATGAAGGAATTTAAGATTCAATTACCTGATCACAATAATTTGGGGCAGAGAAAACAGTAATAAGTTTACCATCATGCTCAATCTCATAACCTTCATCTTTTACTTCATGCGATCGCACAACTAAATCTATCAAAAGCATGTACGATCACCAACATCAGACACCAATTACTTTCTTTTCACTATAAAAAAGCACACAAACTAACAGATAAATACCTAGATTGTTATCCTGTAAAAATTTTCTCGTCACATCTGCACCAAATGAAAGACCTACTCCTCTCTTGCTAGGACCTCGTCCCGGGAAAGGTTGTGGATCACTCCAAAGCAATTCGCACATCAACCCTGATGAAATCAACAGAGAAGAACCATGAGACATAAGTCAAAACAAGATATCATTATCTAACATGACTATCTTTTTGCTCCTCAATTTGCTTCAATTTCGTCATAGATTTGCAAATTTAGATAGCTACTTTTTTATATGCATTTTACATATGATTAAAAAATTAAAAAAATTCTATGTCTTGAAAAAAAATTACAAATTTTCAATTTAATTATAAATCTCCTCATAAAATTGAATTTTTGTATGATAAATTAAGATTGAAAAGTTACAAATTAAAAACAGTGATTTAGGTAGATTACAATGTAATTCAAGTAAAATCATAACTTTATTATAAAAATTTATTAAAATAAAAAAATAAAAGTAATAAGGTATTTTAACCTTCACAAAAGTTTCATGCCCCTCCAATCCTATCCAATAAATTAATATTAACAAGTCAATAAATAAAAAATAGAGATTCAATTAGATTAAAACTCTACATGAAAAAAATTTAAGTAAATCTCTACTCTACAGTTAAATTTTATTAGAAATAAATTAAAAAAAAAAAAGTGAATAGGGTATTTATGTCTTTAAAAAAAATTCAACCTCTTATGCTAAATTTATACACTATAGATATAGATATGGATTATATGGAGAAACATCCATTCTAATAAAAGAGGATGAATACATACACATTAACAACTTAGTTGCTAAACTTAAAAAGAAGAAAAATCAATAGTTAATGCCTAACATATGAAATTACAACAAGCATCGCAGAAACTGAAAGGAAAACACCTTGTTGAAGTTTACCTTCCTCAGGAGGCTCACAAAACCGATCTATTGCTCTGATGTCAGAAAGTTTCACCCCATCAACACTAAAAAGACCTCCGTGTACGACAAAAACCTTTTGATTTATTACATGAGCCAAAGGCAAACAACAGAATACTTCTGCGAAGAGTTCCACAAATGTCTCACTCAACTTGGACCTGACTTCACCCTCAAAGCCATATATCTTGTTCATGTTCTTACTCTCATGATTCCCTCTAGCAAGATAAATAGCTGAAAATTCCCAAGTTAGATGCAATAAAAGTCAAATTAAGGTTGCATAAGTATCATACTAATAGGGAACATCAAGTCCAGAAGATCAGTTTAGAGAGCTCCCAATCAAAATTATCAATTAGAGAGTTTCCAATCAAGAAGATTAATATAGGAGTGTCCACTCATGATGATCAGTTTAGATAGAGATGACCTAAAAGAAGTTCTCAGTTAAAGCACCTAGATATTCCAGTGACAATTTGGTGAAAGCAAATGAGATTGGGAAAAATATTAATGAAAATTGGAAAAGATTCATCTAAAATATCTGAAATTAACAAGATTGACAATGTCAACCAAAAGAGGAAGGGGAGGAAAAAGCAGGAAACAAATGATTACCAAAACAAATGTAAAAGCCATGAAGGAAATGTGAGGCAGAGAATGTATAAAGTAGGTTTCACCTGATGGACACATGCACTTAAATGCAAACAGTGTGAGGATGACCTCCACGGAGAAAGATCCTCTATCCACAAAGTCACCATTAAAGAGATATGGATTCTCTTCTGAAGGGAGACCATTAAGCTCAAAAATATTTATCAAATCGTAGAACTACAAGAAATATGGAAAAATAAACACATTAATAAACAAAAACCACCAAAAAGAAAGAGAAAATATCAGCAAAAAACGAGGCATGCTAAATTAACGTAGCTGTAACTGATGGGTAACTTAAGAAAGCAACAAAGCTATTTACATCCAAAATTACCGGACAGTGACATTATATACATCACCATGTCATGCAAGTGTGTGCATTTATTTTCTATTAACAGGTAATACCACTTTATCCTCCGTCAATTAACATTCAGTAAAAACATATCATGTCCAGCAGTTAAAGTTACAGATTACACATAAAGGAGTGAAATTACCTGACCATGAACATCACCACATACAGTGAAATGACTGCCATCAGGAACATTAATATCAACAAGAGAGGGCTGAGCCTGCAACATTTCTCTCGTTTGTAAGACAATCTGGAAGGCATACCTGTACCAATAACATTATTCAAAAAAAATATTAGTGATGTAGCAAGAAAAAAATCCATAACTGCACTTGCTAAACATACCTTTTATGCAAACACTTTTGATTCTTGAAGTCATCCATCATTTTCTTAACAAAATCCAAAGTAACAACATCTCCATCTATTTTTGCACCTGAATATTGTGGCTCCACCTCTACAACGGAAACAAAATAGCAATTTCATTAATGCACTGCAGACAAAATTATTGTTAAGATACTTAGAAGTATTCAAAAAAGCATCTAAAATATTCAGTGTCTCCAAAATAAACAACATTGTGCAGAATGTTTTATCTGTGTTTATATGACTGCTTATCATGTAAGTTAAATGTTTATATGCAGCTTACATATTAGAAAGTAAATGGCAATCATGCATTAGCTCTTTCCAATGCCAGAATGAATTGCTACATTCAATTCCACAAATCCTTTCAACATAAACCCATGCAACGCACGGTCTATAAAAAGTAAACAAGCAAGAGCTCTCTCTCTCTCTCTCTCTCTCATGTACTAGTCCTAGTTATACATCCTCACGTACTAAAATTAATCTGTTGATAACTCCACATGTCCTCGTTTCCAAAGCTTTTCAATTGTTCAAATGCTATATTCAATTTACAAATTCTTTTAGGATCAATAATTATTACCTATTACATCATAAACCCATGCAATGCATAGGAATAAATATAGAAATAAACTAGCAGACAATGTCATTCACTAGATGTGTCAAAAACTTGGGATCAAACTCTTTGTTGATTACTGGCTAAGGGTTTTTCATGAAAGGCAGAATACAACCTACCAGTACATCATCCAACCACCGGCTCAGAGAAAAAACCAGGAAGAGATGAGGAGGACCTAAGCTAAACTCAAAAACATCTAAGCCTGGTATTGAACTCAGTCTTTAAGCAAATCAGAGTAATAACTTCTTGCCTCAACCAAACGTAATATGGATATAAAATAAATAGGCACAAATTTTATTCCGTAAATAAATATTATAGATGCAATAAAAGCAAAAATCCACTCCCATCCACCTAGAATATTAGGATTAAGTACCCTCTCACAGGGAGGAAAAGTGTTCCCAATTCCCCCAACGTTTCTATAATTGCATCAAGGAGTCAATAAGTAGTCAATCAACATTTTTAATTTTTCTCCCTTTTCCTTAATGAAAATACATGATGGTTGGTAGCATTACCTTAGGACAATTCTTATAAGGGTGAAATGAAAAAGAAGAATTTTTTAAACAAATAAAAGGGGAGAGAGAGAAGGAAAATTCCTACTAAATGGCCAAGTGAAATGCATCAGTGTTTTTAGTGAATTCACTAATTTAAACTTGAAAGTGCAATTAACCACTTCTCCAGAAGAAAAGATTTCCTGACTGGTTATTGAAACATGTGAGATTGACTTGTAGCAGTACTTCATTTTACTTGGAGCTCAAACTGTCAAACCTAAGTCAAGCATTTAACTCTCAGTAAAGACACCACTACCAGCAGATCCACCCCACCACCATGTCCCTAGAGCCACCCCCACTATTGCTGCCACCTTTGTGGCGGCTGCTGCCCCCACAATCACCACTAGTGCTGCCACAAATGCTACTGCAACTGCCGCTAAGGCCACTTGGGTGCGCATGGATGGTGAATTGGGACTCTTCCCTATTATGATACAATATGTTAAAATAATATAAATGTTGATTAACCATAAATTTTATACTAGTTGATAAAAGTTATCCATTGTAAATTTAATCTTAGAATCAAAGCAGTTCAAACTGACGGGAAAACATCTCCAAACACTGCTTCTACCCTTAGAAATAGCAAAAGCCAGTAGCCAGACTTGTTAGAGAAATTATTGGAAGGTCCAGCATACCTAATTAGTAAGACAACACTTAATCTGGTTACTTTAAGACTAAGTTGTGGTGTTATAAAAAGAGAGTACAGATTCTCCTCACGAAAATAGAAGTGCTAAGTTATGAAGCTTAAACTAGAAGAATACACAGAGGAGCATTAGCCATTGTGTCAATTTAGCTTTTTTTCTTCATAATATTATAAGTATTAATTTAAGTATTTATCATTGATGGAAGCAATCAAACTCAATACCACATTGATCTTACCTCACTATTTTATTCATAATATAGATTCAAATTACTCATTTAAATATATTATGATGCTAAACCTTGACTGCTTGCCCATCAGCAAGATGGCTGATGAGTTTCTAAGCATATAAAACTGCCTTTTGATAATATAACTGCCTTGCAGAACCAGTCACTAGTGAAGCAAAAACAACTCACTAGCATGCTAAACTACTGCAGTATAATTAACATAAAACCTGGTCAGAAACCTAGAGGTACAACAAATTAACTAATCACCAAAAAGTCCAAATTCCCACCCCCAGAGAGGAACAAAAATAAACTATTGCAAGACCTAAGTAGTCTACAGTCCATCAGAAACTTAAGAATATGAAGAATCCTTGAAAAATTAGGATCAATAATAACAAGTATATGGGCATGTTCCTCCACCCAATAATGTATATATATATATATGCATATATCATTTCTTATCATTAGAGAAAAAACTTATTATTACTTCAAAAAAAGGATATATCAACACAAAATAAAACTCCTACAACCGATGTTCTTACCTATACATTACCAAAATATGGATCATACAAAAACAACCTAAAGTGGTAAATCAGGAAAACTATAATACTTGCAGAGTATAAAAATAAAAAGATTTCAAGAAGATTCAGCTCAAGGCCATATTTTATCCATGTGACCAAAAGACCATTAGAAAAATCCAGCCTTGATAGGCCAAGACATTATCAAATTTTTATAAACCACTTCACTTATCCTTAAACATATAATAATAAAATTACCAACTAAAGTTATATAAATTAGCAGCTTTTACAGCACAATTACCTTCTAATAACTCATTACCCCATAATATATAAAACATATATAAAACCCAATGAATCAATTGTCAAGAAGATGACATCCAGATTCCAGACTGAAAGGCCTAATAGCATTTGGTCACAAGCTAACAAACTATACATAGAACAAAATTGAAGTGCATCAACTGTTAGACAATTTGTTGTTTTTACTCCTAAAGAACGCTTAGAAATTCTTGATAGGAAATATGAAGTTGCAAGAGGAGGATAAAATGGTAAAATCATAACATCAGAAGCCATTGAAAATTTGCAGGAAAAACCCACACCAGAATAACAAGTAAAAAAAAAAAAAAGCTTCACTACACATTATCTCACAAATTATATCAACAGATGAAACACAAAGATTCACAAATCTTCCTAAATGATATTTGAGTAATCCTTTCAACCAAGCAAGGTTCATAGTTTCTTAAAACGAATGTGAATCATACTAAATACCTTCTGCACAACTATAACAACATGCTATAGATATTTCCACAACCTTATTTTTAAAATTGTCCATTATGGTATTACCCATAGATGCAAAAAAGAAACAGCAATTCTAATGAATATCATATCTATGTGGAAGACCATTTCCGGAATACATCTTAGAATACATAAATTAGGGAATAAATTGTAGAAATAATCGAAAAATGAAAATACCTATCGTGTGGTAGTCAATAGAGTCAGCTACAGAATGCCTCTCAGATTCAGTTACAGAAATTGCTTCTTCAAATTTTAATTTCATTACTGCTTTCTCACATTCCTTTAATTTCTTGGTAGCATCAGGATCATTGGGACAAATCTTTTTTACCTAAGTCCAAAGGAAGGAAAACACTTTCAGACATCACAAACCTCATGTCACATGTTATAATGTATGGCAATTACACAAATTTCCTCTGAGAGAAGAAAAAAAAGGTATTGGCAATAGATGCAAAATAAGTATTTGCAATACAGAAAGTTACTTCTAAATTGAAACTCTGGACCTAGGCATTTAACTTGCAAGAACCCTCCTAGGTCCTTAAAATATTGACTTTTAAATTAGATCAGACAATATGCCATATGTGACTTATCTAGGCATAAATTTCACTAGACTGATTTTGGAGAGCATAAAATAGGAAAAATGGATCCCCCTGCTACCAGTGTATTAATTGCAAAGGAACGTGGCATTTCACAATGATCTCAGGTAAAAAAACCAACAAAACCATAAACGTTTTCTCACTCAAAAGAAAATGCATGCATATATGCAGATATATGCATCTCATAAAATGGAGAATATTACATCGGCTCCAATGAAGTTATCTCAAATCTAGCTTGCAAGCACATCTCATCACCCCATACAATATATAATACTAGAAGGGGGGACAACTTGTAAAGCTATGTTATAAATTGAGTAAAAATTCAATAATAATCCTAAAGAGTCAAAATAATAAGATAGTTCTAATAAAATGAAAATTATTTATTAAAAAGGAAGAAATATCTAACTCATAAATGAATAAATAATCAGGTAAAAAAATTTTGAGAAACATATTTCCGATAATGGCAACCTCTGTATGCAGGAAGTTAAACAGAGACATGAAACAAACATATTTTGCAATATTACAACCCCGGAAGACAAAATACCTGTTGAAAATCCTTTAGGGCTTCCTTAAACTTCCCCATTGCAAGATAAGCAGCACCTCGTCTGTAATAACCCTGTAAGTTGGAGAAACATTAGAAAAAGAACAAAATAGATTCTGCACAAGGGGCTGAGCTGTTTCAGTAGATAAAGCATGCCTTTGAATATTTAGGATCAACTTCAATTGCCTTTGTAGCATCCTGTATGGCACTACCATACTCTTCCAATTTGGTGTGAGCAAATGCACGATTTGCCCAGTATACTGCATTCTTACTATTTAGCTCTATCGCCTGTGTGTACAATTCAATAGCCTGGCCATATTTGTGGGCTGGAAAGAGGCAAATAAACAACTTTAGCATAACTAAACACAATACAGTTGCAAACATCATCAAACATCATTAAACCATCTACACATTCTCTATGCAGAATCAAACACTTGAACTCAATCATTATTCAATAAACAATTAAAAAGCTGAAATAATGAAGATTCACATGCACATCAAGTTGGTACCTTTAAACGCTTCATTAGCTTGGTCTTTGATTTCTTCGGCTCGTGGGACATTAGAACTATCATTTTCCATACTGGGCATAACCCTTTTACCGTCTTGATTAACTCCCGTAAAATGTTAGTGAAATGCTTATCTTCTATTTACAAGCCTCTGCACCATCCATAACAACATCAAACAAACAACAGGTTAGCAAAACCACCACACTTTCATATCCGGAAACAAGACATCCCATTCAGTAACTATCATCAATGACACAAGTATCAGAAAACGGAAATGAAAAATGCCTAAAATACACTGAAAAGTCACAAATCTAATATTATAAGCAAGGGCTTAAAAAATAAATAAACAAACAACCTCTACAATCTACATACTAATACAACTAAAAAATGACTCAAAGTTCTATCTTTTTTCTAAGATATTTAAAATTTCATATACAGGGAAAGAAATTTTAACTTTTACCCTAAAAAAAAGCGAGTTGCAGTTAAGAAGCAACAAAAGAATAATCAAACAGAGTATTAAGCATTTTCGTAGGAACCAATCAAAAGGAAAATAGAAAAAAAAAATCTTAACAGCTTTGCGGTCAGTGTAGTATTGGGAGAACTAAGTGTAGATTAGTGAAGAAGAAAGTACATTATCTGTAAATTAGAAGGAAAAAATTCAGGTGTAACCGAGCTTGCGTATCGACAGAAAATGAAAGAGAAAATGAATTGTAAGCTTAATTGGAAGTGAAACCCTAGTTAAAGAGCGAGAGCAACCCAATTATTTTTCATTTTTCAAAATTATTATTATTTTATTTATTTGTTTTATTATTTTCCTCGATGACATTTGGTTGATCGGATGTGTCCTGAATTACTAGCCACTTATCTACTTGAAAGGGCAGAAAAAACCTTGAGAAAAGTAAAAAGTAGTGATTTTTTTAATTGCATGTGATAAAATAATTTTGAATTGAATATTAGGTTTACTGTTAGAAGAATTAAAATTCACAAATTGATTGTCACATTTTATAATAATAAAATATTCGACTTTTTAAATAAAATATATATATTAATTATTAAATCAAATATTTAAAAACATAAATAATACACTTTTAAATCAAATCATTTGAATTTAAATTCTGTCATCAATAATAAATTAATTGTAAGAAAAATTATCTTATATATTGATGTTGAATTTTTTAAAATTTAATAATTAATAAAATCAAAGGATTGACATGTGTTTTATTAAGATATGTTTAAATAAATAAATTATTAGATAAATATATGATAATTGCTTAAAAAATAAAATATATGACATTTGAATAATTTTATTTATAATAAAATTTAAAATAATACAATCATATATCATATATAATATTATATTATAATATACATATAAATTTTAAAAGATTTATTTACGTTAATATTTAGGTGTATAGTTTCTTATGATGACATATAAGATAATAATAAATAATTATAATAGATATTATCAAATTAATCAAATATAAAAATTTTTAACTAAATCATTAAATAATAATAAATATTCAAATATTAATTTAAAAACGGATAAAAGATATATGATTATTTACTTTATTTAATATTATTTAAATCAATTTAAAATATTTAAATTTATTTAAATTGATAAGAGTATTCATAAATTACTATTTAAAAATTTTGATTCAAGGATTTAAAAATATCCATCTTAATATATTTTTTAAATATCCAATTAAAAAAGCATATAAAAATATCCATTTAAATAAATAGATAAAAATATGTTTAATTAAAATGCTTGATGTAAGATCAAAAACATAATAGATTTTTACTATTCTATTTTATCCAAAACTCTTTTCTTTACTTCTTTCATTTCAAATTTCTTCAAAATTTTCATTTAAAAGTATTTTTGTTCATTCATATTTCTTTTTCAAAACTCTATTTTCTCTCTTAAATTTATCCTTTTTTTTTTTTGCAATGATAATAATGGGTCTTTTTAGAAAAAATAAAAAAGTATTTTTTTTGTTTCCTTAGTATGTGATTTATTTTTAAAAGGATTTTCATTTCTTGATTTTCATGTAATTTTTTATTAATATATATCAATTCTACTATTACTACTCTAAATTCTATTATATTATAGTAATAAAAATTTTAAATTAGAGTTTTTTCATCATTCTTTTTTTTTTTAAATGAATAGAATTTTTTTATCACGGGCATATGTATATATACATATCGGAGAAAATAAATGTTTAGGGGATTGAGGAATGGAATAGAATCTCACAAAATTTTTTTCGTTTGATTTTTTAAATTACATTTTTATCTTCAATTTCAAATTTTCTATTCTTTTTATCGATTTCATTATTAAACTTCAGTTATACTTTATCTTAAATATCAATTTTTTTTATAATTTCTTGAGATTTATAAATACTTACTACATTTAGATTTTATGTAAATCTTTTTTTTATATCGCAAATTTCTCTTTTTTACCTATTAAGCAAACAAATTTATAAAATGAATTTAATTAAAAATTTCAATGTTTTAAATATTTATTAATATACTTTTCTAAATTAAGATGACAGTCAAGAAGTTATTCGAAAATTTTATTGATAAATTATACTTTGAAATTTTACAATTTCAATATATGAAATTAAAAATCAAATCAAATATTTTAATATTAAAATTATGTTTAGTATATAAAATTATGATAAGATATGATAAGATTGATATTATAATTAGGATTAGATTAAATAATATCATTCTATGTTTAATGTGTATAAAAATCAAAATGAAATAATTTATTTATTAGTCAAAATTATTCTTCCTCAAAATTTATATAATTTAAATTATTAATATAATTTTTAAGAATATAATAAAGCATATAAATTTAATCTCATGAATTGAAAATAATTATCTTCATTTTGAAAGAATTGAATCATTTTATATCAAGAGATTGATAATCTTTCTTGTAATTTTATCTATTTTAATTAAGTACAAATCAAATATAATATATAATTATTATCATACTATTTTATTTATCATTTTATACATCAAATATAACTTAAATATATAAGTTTACTTAAAAATAAAAAAAAAAAAAGATACGAATATTTAGAAGAAAAAACAAAATTTTGAATCTACAAAAATTTTATGTAGATTTTTAATGAATTAAATTAAATATTTTATAAATATAAAAATTTCGTGCATTTGCACAGATAAAAAATTAGTTTATATGGAAAATAATCATTTTTTAAGATTAAAATAATCATTCATAAATGAAAGTAACAGAAGTCATAAATTTGATATTCATAAATAAATAAGCAAATAGGGAATCATAACTTTTGGATTTGGACTCTCCAAATTATAAGCTAATCTTTGTTGTTCCATAATACTCCAACCAAATTCATAAATGGTTAAGTCGATGAAGGGTTGGCCACAGCAGAGTAGGCATTGGTCTACTGCAGTGGAATATCACACAAATGATGCAGCAAATATGGATACTCTAATATTGATAATTTAAAATATTATATAATACTACGATACGAACATAATATAAAAATAATATAATTTAAAATTTTAATAAAAATAAAAAATATATTTTATGATTGATATATAATTTTTATAAAAAATATTTTATAAATATATAAATTATTAATATTTTACATAATATAAAAGATTAAATTTAAATTTTTATCTTTTGAAACAATAGATAATTTTTTTAGCTTAATTTCGTCATAAAAATTTTATTAAAAATTATAAAAATAAGTATTAAAATGTAAAAATTCGGACTATTGCATTAGACAAATATATTTTCCTTTTTCCTCCATTTTCCTTTAGATTTAATTCAACAAAGAATAAAATTTAAGGTTTTTTTTTTTAAAGAAAACAAATATATCAAAGGATAACGGATTTCCATCAGAAAGATTTTTGAGGAATTCTTTTTGTCTTTAGGGCTCTAGATGCCTTCTCTTTTCTCTCTTTATTTATTAATTAAGTATATAATAATTTGAAACAAAAGGAAATTTAGATTTTTTGCAATGAACAATCCACTCCCTAGTCGATTTTTTGCAATCAATGAAATTTAGATACATATTGATAAATTTCCTCTCATCATCAATTTATAATTTAAAACAAAGATGTAAAACCCAAAATTCATTGCCTTCCACTGAAACACTGAAAGTTTTAGCATATTCACCCTTATTTAAAAAAAAAAAAATGAGTAAAACCTAAATGCATGAACCGAGAGAGAAAAGGAAGGAAGAAGCACACACGCCCACAAAAATTTTTTAAAAAAATCATAGAAGTTTCTTTAAAATCCATCATCAAAACCAATGAGACAAAGGACAAAGATTAGAGAATAAATCTAGAAATGGAAAATCGAAATATAAAAAAAAGGCCTTAACCCAAACAGATAGCACATTATAGACACATTGAAAATTTTTTGATGCAAACAGAGTGACTTTTAAAGCTATCAACAGATTTTCTCAAGGATTACATTTTTACGCTACTGCCAAATAGACAGAAACCATAATGTAGACACTCATTTTTAAGATTTCGGATCTTGATCCATGGATTGGTTTGGTGGATCCTTGATCCGTCTCCTATTGTTGTGTTTGGATAAAGATAATGAAAACTAAATAAATAAATAAATAAAGACAGAAGACTAATCCTAATATAACTCTAGGATAATGAGGGTTGCAATTTGAAATTATACTGATGAGAGGATTGTTTGGAAACCAAAATAAACGGATGAATAAGATAGGATTTTTTTTTTATGAAAAAAAAGGGAATTTTAACTTTTGAATCCCCAATCGATCTTGTACCTAAACCTTGCTATTTAAACCCAATATAAACCAATGATCACATAACCAAACGAGGATGAAGAAAAGACAGTAATTAGAAAGTATTAAAAAAATTTTGAAGAAATTAGAGTTTTCAAAAATAGGTTTCTTTGGAAAATTTTTTGGATGTGAAGTTTAACTAAAGCCTAGGTGGTGTTTTGGAGAATCCTAAAAGAAATAGAAAGGCAATTAGGCACTTTTGGGGATTTTTTTGTATTTTTTGAAAAATTTTGAAAATTTAAAAATCTAATGAAATTTCACTGTGAAACTTGAATTTTTTGACAAGAAAACCCAATTTCTAGCACTTGTTCTCCATAAACCAATAAAATTTAACGGTGTTCTTCAGTTTATAAAGAGAGAGGGGCAAAGAAAAGGAAAATAGGAGAGAGAAAATAAGGGAAGATATGAAGGAAAAAAATATTTTGCCTTTTATACGAGCTTAAAATAATGCTGTTTTGGGCTTAAAAAGTTGGCAAGATCCATGCATCACCTGAGGTTTGACCCAATTTATAGCATCTCGACCTATCTGCCTACTTCATTGAGCCATCAAGCTTAGCCATGCATCAACAACCTGCATGTGTCTCTGGAGCCACACCTTGTTTAAGCTCAACCAAGCCAAAGTAAGCTAAGGTATTTTTTCTCTTCATTTACCTATTTATTTGTTTATTTATCTTTGTTTATTTTTCATAAATCAATAGCATTTATTCAATTATATATAATTTTTTTCTTCCAAAATTTTTTAGGAAAATTAAAATGTTTTAAATAACAATTAAAATGTGAGGAAAAGGAAAGTATTAAATTTTTTTAAATGAAAAATAATAAAAATATTTCAAAAAATACTTTTTGAAGAAAATAAAAATTCAAAAAATATTTTTTTAGAAAAAGTTGAAGTATCAATTTTCTTTAAAAATAAAAATTTTTAAAAAATATTTCTTGAAGAAAAGTTGAAGTATCAATTTTTCTTAAAATAAAAAAACTCCAAAAAAATAATTTTTCTCAAAAATAAAATTTTCAAAAAATATTTCTTAAAGAAAAGTTA